GTGGGTCCAGGTGGTTGAGTATCAGAATGTTCCATCTCATTTCCCTTTGGGGTTGCTGTAGGTGATCTGGAAGTCTGGTTTTGAGACTTATTTGCCTATTTTCTCATGTCAACTCGGCAGGGGGGACTGTTGGCCCCTGCACGGATTACCTCCTCTGAGCTGGGAGAGGTGGGACACGGGCCAGGAGCAGCAGTAGGGATGGTGGCCCAAAAGCCCTTTCCTGTGGGCTGGGAGCAGCGGGAGGGAAGATGGCTGGGAAGCCCCTTCCTCTGGTCCAGGAGCAGTGGGATGGCAGCTCAGAAGCCCCTATCTCTGGGCCGGGAGCAGTGGGAGGGATGGTGGCCCAGAAGCCCCTTCCTCTGGGCCAGGAGCAGTGGGACGGCAGCTCAGAAGCCCCTGCCTCTGGACCAGGAGCAGCGGGACTCAGTACCATGGTCTGGTGGTCCAGTGTCCTCTGTGTCTTTGTAGTGTGGAACCAGGTGGCTGTACAGAGGAGCGGGGTGGGGGTGGGGGGTCCAGTGGATTGTTGCTGGGGCGTGGGATGATTTGGCATGCACTAGGCGACTTGGGACCTCGGTAGGGCGTCTGCAGACCTGCCTGTCTGCAGACCTGCTTGTCTGCAGCGGGCTGATTTGGTGTGTTCCTCGCGACTCGGGACTTCTGTAGGGCATGCGCAGACCTGCCTGTCTGCAGCAGGCTGATCAAGAATGTTTAGACATCATCTTTCCTGTAAGATGATCAGAGCTTCCAAGAATAGGGCTCCCATCCTGGGAAAAGTCACTTTTAAGAGATGGTAGGCATATGAAATTGCATGAGGGGTCAAGATTCTTAGGAATTTTCTGGTTAGTGAAAGACACGGTAGCAAATGGTCCTGTGGTACAGGGAGGTGGGACAGAATGGCTCCAGAGTGCCATAACCCATACAATTATTCCAACCACAGAGATCAACCCTGCTACTAGAGTAACTCTGTATCTCTATGGCTTCTAGCTCCCATAGTGTCAATCATCAAGCTGCAGCAGTTACCAGTCAATCAAAACACCAAGCAGTTAATACTGATCTCACCAGACCCCTCTCTGATGAGTATGCAACTTCCTCCCCTATGACTCCCAGAAGCAGTGAGAATGAAGCAGAATATTCTGTTCTGAGCCTTGAAACATGGAGTCCAAGCTCAGCTAGTCACATGGTAGGTCAAGAGACCATCCAAACACACCAATCTTGCCATGAGGAAGAGCAACGACTGGCCCACACCATGGTCCTCATCATGTGGTAGAGGAGTGCAAGGAGGAAGTCTTACTAGTTGAGCTGGACATCCAGGCCAGATAATAGTAGCCATAGGAATGGGCATGGGCCATCTGTATGTGGTCTGGGAACATTTTGAAGTTTGTGGAGTCGTTTCCTTCTTGTTATAAATCAAATCAACAACGAAATTCTCTTACCAGAAGACATTTGCCTAACTCTGCTCTCCTGCCTGCCTCTCCTAGGTCAATGATGAAACTATCAGCTAGTCCAACTTCCTCAAAGCAGCTGTTTCAAATGGCATCATCAAAAGGAGAAAGGACCTCCACATTCACGTCAGCTGCAAGATGCTCCGGAACACCTGGGTCAACACCATGTACATCACTAATGACATCATTGAGGTCCAGGAAATCCAGTATGGCAATTTCAACGTGAACATTTCTTTCTTTACCTCCCCCTCCTTCTTATATCCTGTGACTCATAGCCCATACTATGTGGACCTGGATCAGAATTTACATGTTCAGGCTGAAATCCTCCATTCTGATGCCTCCCTGGCCTTATTTGTGGACACTTGTGTGGCTTCACCATACCCCAGTGACTCCTCATCTTTGACTTATGATCTCATCCGGAGAGGGTAATTACTACTTTATAGGTTTAAACCTCTGCCGGATAATTCAAACATAGTAGCGCAGAAGTCTCAGAGTACAGATTTTAGTTAACTGAAATTCTTAGGAGTGGAAGCTTAGCTAGACCCTTTTCTAGGTTTAGTAATATCTTGTGACTTTTACTTTTGAGAGCCTTTCTTGTTGTGTCCTGGACAACATCCCTGATTAGAGAGGCAGGATTTTCATGCATCATCTCCAGTTAACACATAGGAGGAATGGAATGACTCACCAGTGGTCACTCAATAAGTTGGCTGTAAACTGTGATTAGACCCTAGGTGACCAAACTCTATGCTTTGGTTAAAACTATCTGTGTTTAATGGGAAAAGCATTGGTTTGGGAGCAGAACAAGGTTGAAACCCATACCTCTTTGGGCCAGTTTCCTCACCTGTCAGTTGTGATAGTGATGCCCACATTATAAGGCTTTCCTATTACAAGAAAAAGCAGGTGCTCCACAGGATCACTGCATTGAAGTCATCAGAAGGTCTTTGTGACTTCCATGGGCCTGGAAAGTTCTCCAGTTCAACTCAGGAGGTGCAGGGGTCAGGCCAATGTGCTTCATTTCTCCAGCTTCCCAGATGAGGCGCTCTGCAGAGGTGGGCGAGACTCTGCTGCTTTCCCTGATGGGGTCCTGAGAAGCCAGAGGTGCAAGTCCAATCCTACACTGTGTTCCCTGCTGGTAGTGGCACTGCACTTTTTGACTTGCATCATGGCCTTTAATACCTTAGTAGCCATTGCCTCCTAAGAAATTATGCTGACAGGGTAAGGATTGCTGCTAGGAACGAAGGGTGAGGATTAAAGATCATACCTCCCCAAGGTACTAAAAGCAGCATCTCTTTCTAGGCACAATTGGAACATCTATCAGTTCAGTAAACAGGGGGTAAGGCTCATCTTGTCTGTAATCTACGCAGTTGGTTCAGCTAGCATCTGTCCCCCCAGCAACAGATGGAAAGAAAGGTTACCCAGATCCCCTCTCTCCATAGAGGAACAAGTTGGCATTTGAGTGGATACAGAATGATTGAAATGAATGCAAATAAGTGAGCAATTTACTAGCCTGCCAAAAGATTTTGTCTGTTGGTGACATTCTGCCACCTATGTAGTGATGCTGTTTTACAAAAGGAGGGGTACTAAATGCATGTGGAGCAGAGAAATCCAATGAGGGTGCTACTTAAAGATGCTGTTGATGTACCAGAGCTCCCTGGCCTGTTTCACAAATGCCCTACCTCTGAATGAGCCTCTGGGTTTTTCTCTCATCTTGGCCACTAAGGAGGTTGCTGTGGGGAAAAAAAACAAAAAACAAAGAAATCTGAGTATTTGAGAGCAGCTGAGGTGAAGGTAGAGGCAGGAAGTAAGCTTTGGAAGACAGAGGAGGGAGGGTGAGCAGACCCAGGACAAGTTTCTGGGACAACCAGGCTGTCCTGGGACTGCGGCCATTCATCCATGAGACATTTGCACCCCATGGTCCCCAGGCCAGCTTACCTCACTCTTCTCTTGCCCCATCATTCAAAGCCCCACCATTATAACTGCATATGGTTTCTCATGGGGAGATGCACCTTCATTCATATCTAGTAAAATTCCCTGAGCAGATTCTTAAGTTACTTTCCCTCTACCACCAGCTTGGACAAGGGAATGAGGAAGGAATTCCACCAAGGGAATGAAGAGATGTTTGGATACTGGAGTAGGGGTCCTGCATGGTCCTCAGGCCAGTGTGGAAAGTACAGCTGCACAGGCCTCAGGAGAGGCCCAGTGGCTCAGGAGAGAGAGGCCCTGGAAGAAGGAGAGCCAAGCAGGCTGGGGAACACTAACATTGCCCAACATAGAGCCAAATGTCACTTTGCCTGACCCTGCAACCAGGAAAGGGAAAGAAGTTATCTTCTTTCCTCCCCTGTATTTGGCCTGCTCCTGGGCTGCAAACTTGAGCTTCTACTTCCTGACTCCCCTGGCTTAGTTGCGGCCACTGAGCACGTGTTCTTACTTGAACCCTAATCTTCTGTGCTGTATAAGGCCTGGTTGTCTGCCTGGAAACTCCAGGGGGACTCAGAACTGGAAGCTGCTGGTGATGCACCAGCCTGCCAAGGTTTATCTGCATCCCTGGCAGTGAGTGTGTGATCCGCATGGTCTTCAGAAAGGAAGTGAGGTGGCTCGGGAGGCCGAGGCAGCCAGGATGGGCTGTGGAGTTCCACACTTGGTACAACTGAGTCATGATAAATCCAGTGCCTTGGTGAGAACTAACAGGGTTTTTTTTCCTATTCTTCCAGGTGCATAAGGGATGAAACCTTTCAAGTCTACTCCCAACCATCTCTCCGGATTGTCCAAATGAAATTCAAATCCTTCCACTTCCTGAACCGCTTCCCCTCAGTGTATCTGCAATGTAAACTGGTGGTGTGCAGAGTGTATGACTACTCTTCCAGGTGCTACAGAGGCTGTGTGGTGAGATCCAAGAGAGATGTGGGCCCCTACCAGGAAAAAGTGGATGTAATCCTGAGACCTATCCAGCAGCAGATTCCCCCTGAGGAGAAGAGGAGCCTGGGTAGGTCACCCTCGGATGACCCTGCTGCTCGCTAAAGCCCAGCCCTATGACACTCATGGAATTAGGATGCTTCTGTTGGTGTTATGTTACAGCCCAAAATGAATACCTACTACGTGCCAGGCATGCTGTGCTATGCCTGGGCAGACAGTTCTGACCCAGAAGGCATATAGACCTGAGGCTTTATCCTCTGCTTCTCATGCATACAATGAAAATGCTATTCCTTACCTATACTACTGCTGAGAGGGTTCAATAAAGTAATGTTAATTGAACTGCCTTGACCCCTGAGTAGCATGTCATTGGGTACTTTATGAACAATAGCTTTTGTTACTGTTGGTATTATCACTCATAGTAACAACCGTAATAATACTATTATTCCTCATCATGATAACTCCAAGTGATAACAACAGGCCAACATCAGGATCAGGCTGGCCATGAGAATGATAGGTGTGTGTGTGTGTGTGTGAGGAAATATTCCCAGGACTCTCAGGGTGATTTGCAGGATTCCTGGCCCAGTGATGAGGACTGGGATGGGCTAGCAGTAGTAATCAGAAGCACTACCTTCAGTGAGGGCATCACCCCCAGGCATCGTTAACAGCTCCCTCCCTTCATGCCCAGTATTAGGCATGTCCCCGTGGCCAGCTGATTTTTCATTCTTTCCTTACTTACTCATTCAATGAATATTTATCAAATAACCATTGTGTGCCAGAAAGCAAATAAACAGATATAGATCAAAATTCCTGTCCTCGAGGTGTTTACACTCCAGTGGGACAAGGTACAATTAGAATAGACCTAGTGCATGCTATATCCTATAGCATCAGAGCTAGGGAGAAAAGGACAGAGGACGGATGAAGGGGTAACTGGTGTTACCTTCTCTCCTCTCCCTTTATTCCCAGTAGCCACTTCAGTAGCTCAGGTCTTGGCAGTTTCTCCCTTGGGAGTGTTATAATCATTTCCTAGCTGGTCTAAAATGACCCAACTGTCTCTCCTTCTGGCTACTGGAACCTCAGGCCAGAATTGTTCTCCTAAAGTCCAACTTAGAGCTCGCTCGAAAACCTTTCCTTGATTCCCTGGCTAACAAGACAAGGTGAAATAAAACTCTTGCACCCAACACTCAGCTGCCCTTTGGGGTATGACCTCAGTTTCCCCTTCATCACTACCCCCGCCCATTTCTTTTTAGATTCCCACCAAACAGTTCTTCTAATGGGGACAACAGCCCTTACTTGTCTTCTTTTTCCTTCTCCTCTGGGTTCTGTCCTGGTCCCAACTCTTTTCTCGGTATCCTCTTCTCCAAGACCTGGTGGTGGCAGAAGTGGAGAAGCCGGGAAGCTCGCAGGGGAGCTCTCAGAACCCTGCCATTGCTGCAGGGGTCTTCCTGGCCTTGGTCCTGGCTGTGGCAGCCTTCACACTGGGGAGGACACGCAGCACCAGTGGCTGTCTCCTGAGCACGGGGATGTGAAGCCAGGAGAATGTGCTCAGACACTGCCCCCATGTGCACAGGCAGCCTGAGATGATGGAAGAAGTGAGGGCACAGAACAGGGCACCCGGGAGCAGCCTGATTAAATCTCTCTTGGCCCAAGTGTATGATGAGATGAGCTGAGGTGGCAGTGCAGAGAAGTGGGGCCCAGGCTTTTCCTGGATCCACAGCCTCCAGGCTGGACAGAATGGCACAGGTCAATGGTGGCAATGTCTACAATCCCACATGCAGCTGTGAGCCAGAAACTGATAGGAGCAGAACTGTTTCTAGACAAAATTTCTTTTCTGATCTTTTAGAAATCAGCTTCTTAGTCTGTAGTATGAATCTCATCCTTTCCTTACAATAGGGCAAGCTAAATAAAGAATCTTTTTCCATGTAAGTGTCTTGCTTGGTCAGTGTTTCCAAAGGTTCACCTGTGAACTAGATCCCCTCAAATTAAGCGGACAGCTAGGGAGAGATGTCAGCTGGAATAGTAAGAGGTGAGGGGCTCTGATTTTGGCCTCCAGAACCTCCTAGGGAGTGGCTAATGTGTCCTGATATCCTTGGGAGTGAGAAATCTTCAGCTGCTGTGGGATGCAGGATGTGCCCCAAACCCTTCCAGGGGTACAGAAGAACTAGGGATTGTGGGGTTATTTCATTGTTTCTCATTTTCCTGGCCATAATTGCCCACATTCACCTTTGCCTTCCAAGCTGGGTGGTCAAGGAAAGGTGGGAGGGCCACCCCACAGGGACAGGCCTGCCCTGAAAAGCAATAGCAATGCAGTGAAATGCAGGGCCAGCTCTGAGCAGATGTGGACCTGCTCAGAGCCCAGTGATCCTGTGTTGGGCCACATCCTCAGAGGAATGGAAAACCTACAGACACCATATGCCCTAGGTGAGGAGAACAGCAAAGCCTGAATTCATGGTATGTGCCTATTTTGAGTTGTGTCCTCTTGCCTTCTGGGGACACACCTGCCTTCCAGTGTCTTCCAAGCAGCAGCATCACTTCCTATCACCATCCTTCTCCTGCCATCCCATCTGTGGATGGCAGAGGGCATTGCAGCTTAAGTACCTGATTTCGTTGGTTGCCAATAGCTGACCAGTACAAGAAGCTTTTCCATGTGTTTGTTTGTTTGTTTGTTTCTGTGCCACTGCTACCTTTCTTTTGATTTAAGGAAACAGAACCTGATTCTTTTCTCTGAAAATCGACTAATAGGTAGTTTTCCTTTCTGCCCAGTAACTACCACATGCCAAAGGTGACCTCCCATCAGTCCCTAAAGATGTTGTCCCCGTCAGTCTGTCTCTGGCTCCAAGACACCTGAAGTGGCCAGCTTGGGGTTTTGTTCAGAGGGAAACTCACATCCTGAAAGTTTTGATGGCATCAGGTGGCTTCCAGGATATGCTACTCAGGGACCACTTCAGAAGCTGTCATTTGTCCGAAGGCAAGATAAATTGGACCTCAGAGTCTCCTCCCAGTGGGCTGTATTGGACACATAGTATGGGTTGTGTGTGTTCTTGGGGAGCAGGCTCAGGTATGTGCTGACAGGGAGAGAAAATCATATTAGGGAGGCCATGGCGGGGAATGCTATATGTTCAGAAATTTTGCAGGTGAGTTGCTAAACAATCATTAAAAAAATTAAATTTAGTGAATTATATCAAGAACAAAGGTAATAAATCCTAAAAATTCATCACTTTCTAATTATTTGACTCCATTTAACTGAGATCTTTGCCCCAGTTATTTACATATAGAGTATCTGCCTAGTGGAAATACCATCTACTGCTGAATGACTACCCAGCTCTTCCCAACTCTCCATACACGGCACTGCCTTGTAGCATAAAATGATGATGAGAAAATATTTACATCATGGAAATCATGCTACAAATCAAGGATTCCCTCTTTTCAGACACTTTTAGTCAATATTTCCCAATACACGTGGCCCATAGTTCACTCATAAGGGATCCATACTCTAGGAGAGCTTGGCAAAATCTTCAGTGGTTTGCCACTATGTTGAAATCTCCTTTCTTAGCATTACATCTTACGAGAAATACCTGTATCTTAGTAGATCTGGAATCTAATTTTACCTGGCCCAGGAGAGGCCTTAGCAAATTCCCCAGGATCTAAGGGAAGTCCAGGTAGGCCACAGTTGTGAGGTCCTGCGGAGGGGTAAGATGTCCGGGTACAGGTTAGGGGCAGGACAAGGACAGGGAGCAGAAGGTGGGGCTGTGGCATGGAAGACTTTGAGACCTCACCTTATCTCCCTTCAACTGAGCCCAGCCCCAAATTCCCTCTCTTCCTCCTCTAAGCCATGCAAAACTCGTCAGCTTCAGCCTTGGCTCACTGACTTGATGTTACCTCCAGATAACAGTTCCCTTTCTCTTGGAACTCTGTGTGTATGAGTGGCCAGGAATCTATACTGTTTGTCCATGTTCTGAAATGAGGACCAGCATTCCAGCCAGATTAGAGGGAGGCATGGTGGAATCTTCCAGATGTTGAAACTCTAAGAGTGAGTGGTGGACCTATGAAGAGCAAGACCACCATGTGGAGTTATGGCCCGTGGCATTAAGCTCTAAGACTCACAGAGTTAGCAGTGAGCATCTTACAGGGGTGAAAATTTTCAAAATTTCCTCCATCCTCATCTACAGCCTACTGGGAACTCTTTGAGGTCAAAGTAGCACTGAGCTTAGGTGGGTAACCAGGCAGGCTTTCCTGTGATCTAATGTAATGAGCATCGTTCCTCAACCAACCTGCCTCTTCCCCCTGCACCCAGTACAATCTTCTCTATATAAGGCTGAAGGTGGCAAATGTTGGAGAACTGAGGGTTGGCCTGAGGTGTCAACTGATGGTGCTAAGCTCAGACTCTTCCTGCTTATGAGGGCTGGGAGCCTGAATGGTCAGGAGCTCACAGGGAGCACAGGATCGGACACCTCTCAGGACAGAGACCTGTAGTAGCTCTTGACATGGATTTTCCTCCCATATGGATGATTCTGCATGATGTTAAGAGAGAGCAGAGTCAGTGGGAAGGATCAGGAAGCTGCTGGAAATCTGGACCTGTAAGATCATAGTGAAAAGCTCTCCTGTTAGGTTTGGTAGGGGACCTGGTTGACTCCTATTGCATGGGAAGAGCCATCTGGTCATAAAATCTGTATCCCTCTCCACTGCTTTGACAAAGGATTTTCATTTTCATTTATATTCCTACTATATAGTAGGACCATCTTGAGCCTATTTATCTGGGACTTTCCCATTTTAGCTCTGAATGTTCCGTGTTCTGGATCCCCTTTGACAAATCAGGATGGCCGTTCACCCTGGACTCAGGATCAAGGCTGCAGGGCAGAGGACCAGGCTGCACCAAATGCAGCAGAAGGAGACTGAGCCCAGACCCTTGGCCAAATGTGCAACACCCAAAAGTATCTGGGACCTTCCTTGATCATCCATATAGAGAAATTTTCAAGGCTATCCTTGACTCAGGTAGATGTCAGGGTCATTTTATTGATTTTGGTTCCTAGAGACAGACCCAGATGGATGGGAAGGTCTCAAGTTTAATTCAGGGCTGGAGAGAGATCATGAGTTTCATAAGCATATGGCCGTGTGTGTGTGTGTGTGTGTGTGTGTGTGTATGCGTGTACTGGTGTGGTAATCTGCTAGGGCTGCCACAGACTAAGTGGCTTAAACAAAAAAATTTATATTACAACTCTGAAGCCTAGAATTCCAAGGTCAAGGTACAGACGGGGTTGATTTCTTCTGGCTTATGTATGAC